ACAACGAGCACGGCAGAGACACAGGCGGTACGACCTTACTCGCTGTCTCACACCCACCTGCCACTCAGGAGACGCTCGCCGAACGAATTAATGGCACCACAGAAGCCAAGGAGCCAGTCTGCTCCTCCGCCTCGCTGCCTTCTGCCAGCCTGTACTCCTGACCGTGGCCCTCACGGTGCTGGTCGCAGCTTACCTAAGGCTGCACAGCACAGAAAGGGGGGGGGGCAGAACCTGCTTCCCCGACCCCTCCAGCCCATTCTAAGCACATCCATGACATCAGACAGACGTGGGTTCCACCGCATGACTCTGATCAGCGTACTCCGGCTGCTTATCCACAAACTGTGGACAGACTCTCCACGTGAGGCGACCATGAGCACTGAGGGGCCCAACTCCCCCACACTCAGTGACTGTGACTCCCTGTTCCAGAGGACACATTCCTCTTGTACTGGGCCTGCCTTTCTACCCAGAGGGAGGCAGAGGTGGGGACCCCAACAACCTAATTGGAGTTGGTGCCTCTCCCAGACTTCAGGCCACCCTTAGAAGGACATCAAATGCCTCATGACCCAGATACCAGGGCTCCGAGAAGAGCAGCAGCAAAGCCACGTTAACTCCAAGGACGCAGCTCTTCACGGAAGATGAGACCGTGCCGCCCCAGCAGGACCCACACCCCGGGCAGCAGAGAGAACCTGGCTTGCTGCCCACGCTGGTAAACCAAACCAGAGCTGAGGACCACTGAGGCTCTCACCTCTGGGCAGAGCCCGCCTGCCTGCCTGGCCGAGGGCAGCCTGGGCTGTGGTGAGGCTGGCTCCCAGAGGGGGCGGGAAGACCCTGGAGTGGGGCTGAGCTCAGGGCTCTGGGAAGAGACAGGGCTCTAAGAAAGTGTAACCAAGCAGGACCCGGTGGGGCCTTCAGGGGACAGACCCTCCTCTCTGAAGCGCCAAGATGAGGGTATCTCATGAGTTTTTTAGATGCTAAAAACCCCCACCAAACGGAAGGATTAGATTAACAGTGAGGAATCTGTGACCGCATAACATCTGTGACTGCACAGCAGTAACCCCGAGCAGCTCCCCTCGGGCTACAGCGACACGCCAGCCTGGTGTTACGCTGCGCGCGTCCTCACAGCACAAGCCCACAGACCCCTCCCGGAGCACCCTCTGCTCCAGGTACAGGGATGTGAAGAGAGGTGGTTTGTTAACTCCCAGGACAGGAGGCAAACCTTGGCCCCCCGCCCGGTGGACGTGGTCTGAGAACTGCAGGAACAGGAGGCCCCGTCACCAGATCTGAGGCCCCAGTGCGACTGCATCAAAAGGAAAGGGCAGCAGCCCCGTGTATACTCGGATCCTCATCAGAAGCATGGCTCCTTGGACATTTGCTAGAGAACTCCCCACCACCCCTCCCAAGGGGGCTCACAGTCTTGGAAGCCCTAGCCTACTGTGACCGCCTTCGCCTGGCAAAGAAAGCAAGCTGCCTTTTCTACTTCATCCAAAACACCTGTCTCCAAGTTTTAACTCGGTAATCGGGGCACAGAAGCGTAAGCTCGGCAACAGAGACAGAGCCTGGAGGGACAGGGGCCGCAGCCAGGTCTGCAAGGGGCGTCCCGGTGCCGCCAGACAGTCCCCTGCCGCCGCTCCCTCCACCAGACCCGCCCTGAGAGACCAAAGACCTGGGACCCCTCCAGGGAGGTAAAGCATGTGTCCGACCCGGGCGGGGCTGGAGAGGTCTGGAAAGGGAAGAGCAGGTTCCCAGCAGCCACCACTGGGTTAGTGGGGGCCGTGGACGCAGCAGCCAAGCTGACTCCCGAGATGAAAGAAGGCAACAGCGTGGCCTCTGGCTTGCCACCCCCCCCACGGAAGAGCAAGACGGGCCGCCCAGGCTGCATGAGACGTTCGTCACACCGTGCCGTCACTCTGGGGGAGGAGGGGTCCTTACTTGTCATGGCTGAGCCTGACGCAGGTACCACTGAGCAAGTTCTCCACGTATCGGTATTTACTGAATGAATATTTTATGAATGCATAAAGCATGTGTGAGTTAGGAGCACTGAGAAATGAGAACTTGAGCAATAAGCTTAATAACGCAGGGCCTGCGGCACAACGCCCCACCGCGGTCACGTGCGAGAGGCACTGTGAGCGTCAGGCAGCCGCCCGCCGCCGCGGGCGAGTCCACTCTCAGAACAAGCTCAGCTCTTTGTCATTTTTTTAAAGCAGGTTTTATGTTGGTGTCATGGGGCGACCAGAATGACGTCCTCTGGGATCTCGGGTTACATCAAAACATCTGGACAAGACAGACAAGGGGGGCAGACGGCTTCCTCCACAATTTAGGCCCCAAGGACGCATCCGTGCCCCAGGAAAGAGCCTGTGCCTCCGCCCAGGAGCCAGACGTGGTCAGCAGCAAGGCCACGGCCTCCGGGCAGGAGGAGCCCGGAGCCCCTCGGACACACCCACACAGCGAGAACCCGCTGGAAGCAGCAGCTCTTGGGAGGCAGTATTCCCTCCTCTCAAGGGCAGGCCACGACGCCCTCCCACTGACCAGCCCCGGATCGCAGGTAGGACTGCGTTCATGGGTCTCATCCTCAATAATCACACCTTGCGGTAAATCAGCGTGGAGACGGGCAAACGGGACGCATTCATGAACCCCGTATGCAGAGCGGCCAGAAGGCCAAACCCCTACGCGTACTCAGCTCCAGAGCACAGCGCTCCAGTTATAAAAAGACATACAATATGGAACCACTCATGTCATTTTAAAAGACACTCTGAAAATCGTGTTTGTTGTGGCTGTAAACACAACAAAGGGGTAAAACGTGGTGTGGACAATGTTACCGCCTCCCAGAGGGCAGACCCCCCCCCCGGGAGGAAGACAAGGGAGGTGGAGAAGGGAAGGGGGAGGGAGTCCAGCCTCACTACTTCTTCATTTGCGCATTTTTTCCCAACATTTTCTTGTGAAACTTTTCAAATGTGAAGTTGAAAGAATCCTCCGTGAAGACTCTGTATGCCACTGGTAGATTCTACAACTAACATTTTACCACATTTGCTTTATCAACCAAGTCTCTCCACCTTTCCATCCCTCTACCCAACATGGATCTAATTTTCAGGCATCTCAAAGGCCGGCGCAGATACCACACGCCACCCTCAAATCCCTCAGCAGGAACATCACCAGTTTCACATCTGCTTACAGCTTCTCTTTTGATATAAAACTGACTTACAGTGAAATGCAAAATCTTAAGTAAACATCTGCTAAACTTTAACAATTGCAAACAGCTGTGCAACCCACACCCAAATATCAAGTGGCACAACATGACCATCACCTAGAGGTCCCCTTGGGCCCTTCCTAGTCAAAGCCCATCCCAGCCTCTCCAGGAGCAACCGTTGTGCTTTCATCACCATAGAAGAGTTCTGCTTGTTCTGGGATTTCAGAAGGATGACTCACACGGTACGTGCTATTCTGGGTGAGTCTCCCTGCACTCAGGATAATGTTCCGAGAGTAATGCTCGCCCACGGTGACGGACGTGTTAGGAATTTGTCCGTTTTTGTTGCTGAGTAGTATTCCATTACGGAAGTGCCACCACTTGTTAAGCCATTCTCCCATAATGGGCACCGGAGCTCTTTCTAGGTTTTGGCTAGGAACGTTCTTTACAGGTCTTTCTGTAAACACATGTTTCAATTTTTCTTGAATAAGTAACTAAGGTTAGAATTGCTAGGGAAAAGTGCATGTTTAGTTTCATAAGAAACTGTCAGACGTCCTTGAAAAGTGACTGCGCCACCTCATGTTCCCACCAGGGCGTGAGAGTCCCAGCTGCCCCGCGTTCCTCGTCAACACTCGGCATCGTCAGGCTGTCACTTTCATATTGTCAGTCTGTCATCTTCATCATCCTGATGAGTACGCAGTGGTGTCTCACTGAGGACCGAATTTGTATTCCCTCCTCCCCACTGACTAATGGTGTTCACATCAGCTGTTTTTTAACATTTTTTTTCCCAAAGAGAGACAGAGAGAAGAGACAGAAAGGAGAGAGAGACAGACAGAGACAGAGACACAGAGATACAGACACACACACAGACACACACACACACAGGGAGAGAGAGAGAGAAGAGACAGAAAGAAGGAGAGAGAGACAGAGACAGACACAGGCACACACACAGACACACACGCATCTGGAGCAAGCACAGCAAAGTGCTCAAACCTGAGATTAGGCATGCTAGTGTCTAATTATTTCCTGTCTATTTCAAGTATTTTACAATTAAACATGAAAACTGTATTCTACCTGAATCTTGCTCCATCTGTCATTCCCCCTGTAAGGGCACGGCCCTAACACCCGAGCTGGGCTTGGAGGCACGGCTTCTGGCCTGGGGAGCGTCCCAGCTGGGAGTGGGCCAGGCCCTGGGGAAGGGATCCCAACACAGAAGAGCTGCTTCCCGAAGCCACTAAGAAGTCCTGCCTCGGGACTGGCCTCTGTGGCCCCGGCTTTGCTCCTCACTTTCCACTTGGCTCCCTGTGCGCCTCTGCGGGCCAGGGCACGTCCAGTGGCTGGCCCCGGGGCTGGGCCCTGGTGGGGCCACCTCTCTTTACCCACCAAGGACTGGGCTCGGGTGACACTGCCTGTCCCCCAGAGGCCTGAGCCTGGCCTGTCTTCTGTGGCATGAATTCCTGCAAGGAACTTCTCATTGCTACTGACATTCATCCCTCAAACCCACACCCTGCGTCCCCAGATACAGCTTCCTTAGGAAGTGAAAAGTGAGAGGTCTCGCCCGGCCGTCTCAGCGTCCTCAGAGGTGGCGCCCCAGAGCGCACGTAGCTGTGGTACCACTGCCCCCCTTAGGAGGACGCCGTTCATTCCTGCCTTGACTTTACACTTGGCTCCAATCTCAGCCACGCAGACTCTCACTGAACCTGAACAAGAACTGTACCAGACTGCCCACCTCTAGGGCCTCAAGGGCAGGATTACTACAGAGTCGCCCGAGCGGCTGATGAAGGCAGGGACAGGGAGCACGGGGCGCGGGGACACTCACCGCTGGCACTCGCCGGCGTGCAGGATGAGCTCGTCGCTGCCCCGGGCGCTGACCGTCAGCTCGTGCTCCGTGGAGTTGAAGACGTCCAGGAGCAGGTGGCACTGCCGGGTACTGCGGGGCAAAGACAAAGGGAAGTTCAGACTCTTCTGGCAGCCAAAGAGGGGAGTGACTCCGCCTTATCCTCTCCATAGGTCTCCACGACTGGGGACATCACAAGTGCGATTTGGCAAAATGTCAAGTGTCCCTGGACCTAAAGGTTTACTGAGACTCATTCTGAAAAAACTGAATTCTCAACAGTGGGTTTGGACAGGGTTAGGGTTAGGGTCCTGGGACACATGCTTAACAACCCTTTACACATGAGTGACCTCGGGAAGGTAACCTGAGTTCTCCAAGCCTCACACATGTGACAACTAGGGGACAGGACCCAGAGGGAAGGCGCTGGGGACAGTGTCATTCAGTACATGACCGCGTCACAGACCTGGATTTCCACAGGTGCCGGGCGGCTGCTGGGCGGGGCACACGCAGCTCCGCGTCCACACTGTCCACGCGCACGTTCACCACAAGTCCCCACAGGGACCACCCCCTGCTCCCTCCAGAACTCTGGATAACACTTTCACTCACCACCCACGTGAAACCTCCTCTCCTTGGCCTTCTCTACTGCAGACAGTAAACCACAGTAACCAAGTTCCCATCGCCCCCTTCCCCAGGGGGAGGGCCATGGACCAAGTTAGCCCACTGCAGGCTTCTGGAGACGCTCCACCCCGAATAAGAAGACAAGTCCTTGAGAGGGGAAGGCATCACCCTTCCGCCTCCCCGCTCCCTTCCTTCTTCTGCAGGGAAACCGGGTGACCCAGTGGACCCTCAAGACCTTCACGCACCACGGCTGTGGATGGCAGGGGGGCATTCGAAGAGGGGTCCAGGAAGTGATGGTGTAGACTCATTAGCTACACATGCGAAACAAAAGTCCAACCACACACGCTTCATTTGGTTAGTTGCCATTTGTCAGGTCTCCGTGACGGTCGAATGCCTGCCGAAAACTACCACAGCATCTCAAATGCCAAGTGTCACAGCTGCGTGTGACAGCTGGTCAGTAAGTGTCAGCTCCTCCCAACGGGACAGCCGGACTCAAGACAGGAGCAGCCAGGGAAGAGCAGCAGAGGCAGAAGCCATTCTCCTTTCTGGAGGTTCAGGGTAAGGAGATTTTCACTGAAGGGAAAATAAAACAGATTCAGAGAAGGATCTGTGCTCTGGGTCATTTTCAGCTGAGCATTTCTGCAAAACATGGCCTTCCAAAGGGCATCTGAATCCTCAAATGTGCACCTCAAAGTGTGATGATGCAAGACGTCGCTGGCTGTTAAGCAAAGGTGAGGGAGGGCTCACACCCATGTCCTGGGCTGCCTGCACGTGGTTATTTCATACAAAAGCCCTGGGAGGGTGTGCTCCAGAGACCCAGTGACAGGAGAGGAGAGTGACGCTCAGGAGGTGACGAAAAATGCTGGTGAATGACTGAGACCCACGACTTAGAGCTTGAAACCCTGTCGTGCTCACAGCAGACGATGCATATGCCAAATCCAAACTACGTCCTCTGTTCTTTCCAGAGAAGGGGACTGAGGGAGAGAGGGGCACAGTGAAGTGTCCACGGGTTCACACGCACATACACACACACAAAGACGGACATCATCAAAAAGCCACTGCGCACCTGTGAAATGCCAGTTTTTCCAAACGTGTACGTTCACCTGCTCTCAGGGGAGGAAGCAAGGAGGCACCTGATGGTCCGGCTCTTACTGCCATGAGATGCTGCACGCCACGTCTTAGAAGAGCGGGGTCACGTCAGTAGATTCTGGGTTCTGTGGTGGGGTGTCCTCCTCAGAGGTTCAGCAGTTGGAAAAACATTCATTAGCTCCGGCAGCTGCCTACAAGAGGCCTCTTCACTCAGCTCACAGAAAGATGAGCTTTCAAGAGGGAAGATCCAATCCCTTCTGCCTTTGTCATAACTTCATGAAATCTTTAATCACAGAGAAATCTTCCATCATAAAAGGGAACTCAGAAAACATTTATCACAGGAAGAAAATTGAAGTGGTTTTTCTAAAGCAGGGAAGAAAAGGTTCAAATACGTGTTGTCTTCACTCGCAGAACAGAGTTGTTAGAAAACTGCACGAGAGTCAAGGACGTCGGAACGTTAGCACTTTTCTGTCCTCTCTTCCTGGCTCGCTGTCTGAGTGTGGGGTGTCCTGCCCCAGTGCTCCCACGCCTTCCAACTGTTGCCTGCTGTTCACTTTCCACCCATCATTCATAAACCAAGTCCCTTCCCCAGACTGCAGCGGCAGCGAGCTCACGACAATGCCATTCACTCTTTGTATCTCTCCGCGTCGCTCAGGATGATTTTCTTAAGTTTTAAGATGTGTTTGAGCGTATATTTACTTTGAATTCTTGTTTGCTTTTTGGGGGGGGGGTCGGTTCTTTTCTGGATCCATCTTCCTGAAGTACAGGGAAACCCGGGAAGCTTCCTGGAAGACCTGAGGTCAGAGCAGGTCTTCAAAGAACAGATCCATCTGCCTGGTTTCAGGGAGGAAGGGGGCAAGGTCTCAGCAGCAGGGAAGAATCTGGAGTAAAGTGGGAGGAAGGGGGCGAGGCCGCCGGGGTAAAGCGGGGCACCATCCAGGCAGAGAGAGCAGCGTGTGTGAAGTCACATCTGTACAGTCAGTGCACACTATTTCTTCTGTCCAGAATTAGGACAACTCATTTTCGTAATTATTTCATGTGAAAAATATCAGTGTCTACTGAGTACCTTTATAATATATGTGTGTGTATATATATATTTATATATATATACTTACATACTGCTCACGGGACAATAAAATGGCACTGCCACTGTGGTAAACAGCCTGGGGGTCTCCTATAAGGTTAAATATGCACTGACCATATAATCCAGTGATTCCATTCCTAGAGAAAGGAAAACTTATGTTCACAAACACTCTGCATGGGTATTTATAGCCGCGCTAGTCATAATCAAAACGGTGGGAGTTCAAATGTCCTTCAGTTGCAGGATGGACCCACAGACTAGGGTGCATCTATTCAATGGACTGCTCCTCCACATTTAAAAATACAAATCAAACTGCAAACTCAACAGGAGGGAGGGATCTCAAAATCATTATGCCGAGTGAAAAAAAGTCACTTTCAAGAGGTCACATGCAGTGCGACTTCATTTACATGACATTCTGGAAAAGTCTACAGGACACACAGCAGTGGAGAGCCCATCGGTGGTCGACACGGGTCAGGGCAGGACTGCCAGGGCAGCAGGGTGAAGTTTTGGGGGTGATGAAACTGCTTTTTATCCTGATTGTGGCAGAACACACGTGTTAGAACACACAACTGTGCTCCAGAAAAAGTCAATTTTATCACGTTAATTTAAATCTTTTAAAATCTATATAATAAAAAATAAACCTCGTGCTGAGCTGCATGAGCTGCAGGGCACGAAGTCTGTTCCGATACCAGATTTGCTGCTTCCTGGCTACTGCATGTAAGCATCATTTAACTTCTCTGAGCCTCAGTTTCCCCCAGGGGAACAAGAGCACCTGTGTCATGGAATGATTTGGAGGCTCCAGTGAGGGGCAAAGTGAAAGTGCTCTGTAGCGCTGCAAGCAGGGGGTGCCAGAAGTCGGAGCGGGTGAGTATTACTAGCTTGGCTGCAGTCAGTGGAGCAGCAGAGGAGCTCACAACCCTGCTAGCAAAGCAATCCCAGCTGATTATTCCATGATGACTCAGCTACAAGTGAGTGTGAGAAACCCCACACCGGGGCCTCAGTCCATCTAAAACCACGGTGCCACGCCCAGAGTGTAAGGGGGCTCTTCCTCCCCAGGCCCGGCCAAATTCTCCCAGGCTCCCAGGGTCCAGACATCAACGTCCCATCGTTCCTGGGGGCGCGGTGAAGTGACGGGAGACACAGTCGAACATGCAGTGACAGCCAGATAACACCTCTGGCCAAATCTGTGGGGTCTTTTAAAGTTCTATAAACCTGCCTGCTCCTAATCTGTCTTCTTTCCTAAAAAAAACTAGTAGCTAGTTTCAGGATGGAGAGCTCTCTTGTAAGTCTTAAGAAAGCCAGGGAGCTTAATTCAATCTAAAGGGGAAAAAATAGAACAAATCTTCTGGTGATATAATTTGGCACCGGGCTGCGTCACCTCACAAGGGTCCAGCGCTCAGCGACAAACACACCATTTACTCCCTGTTACATCATCTCATTTGTCCTCGGAACGGGCCACAGGTATAAGAAAAGAACCATGAAGACCACATGTTAAGAAGGGCATGAAACCGACGGAACACCCAGACGTTTGTGCCTCAAAATCCAAGGTGAATAGGTAACATACAATGACAACTATGCCATATTGGCTTTTCGTTTTCTGGGACTGAAGACAAGTCCAGTTCAAAAAGGATGGAAATGAACCTGCAGATAACAACCAGAAATCATGTTTCATGTATCACCACTTGAATTGAACTCTGTAATGAGTAAACTAAGCAGTAAAACTTTGAAAATGCAGAATGCAAAAATTCTAAATATAAGATCATGAAAAACTCAGGCCGACTGTTGTGATGAACAATCTCCCTTTTAACACACACCCAACTCCTAAATCAAACATGATGTGGGCCTTTCCCACTGACATTTATAAATCATACTCCTTACTATAATTAGCATGTATTACTTGTTAAATAGAGCAATCTCTAAATGCCTTAAATGAATATTGATAGTGTTTTTAAGTGAATATTAATATACAACATTCAATAATATAGTTCAAAGTAAAATATAGATCACTTAAAATTATTGACTGTAATAATTTAATAATATGTATGAGTAAGAAAGAAAGAAGGTCCTTTCAAGATACAGCTGTGCAGACAGGGAAGCGGGAGGGAGTCCACTGGGAGGTGGTCTGCCTCGGCAGCTCCCCCTGGGGACACTGGGGACCCGCGCGCTAACCACCAAGAGGGTGTCAAGCTGGATGGAAGCCGTCAAGTGGATGGGAGGGCTGGGTCGCAGCTCCTGCCTGCGCAGATAGACACCACGTTAACACTTGCAAAGATGATGAAAAGCGTGCTTATCATTTCAGGGAACACAG